GTTCGGTTCGGTTCGGACATGGTTATTTTGGGTTTTGTAATTCGGTTATTCGGTTCAATCGTTTTGGGCCAAAACTGTTTTTAAAAGTGGGCTTTGTCTTTTCTTTTTTGAACTAACTGGGCTTATCTTAATTGGAAACAAAACAAAAAAAAAAAAAAAGAGAAAGAGAAGCTTTTGTCTTCCACGAAGCAACCAACGGCCGACGAATGGAGACACCGGCGGCGAGTTCTGAAAGGCGGAGCGAGCGTATAGATCTGAAAGGCGAAGAAGATGTTGATGATAAGCTGTTGGTGATAAATCGAAGAAGAAGAGAAGCTGTTGTTGATTAATCGAAGAAGAAGAAGATGTTGGTAATAGATCGAAGAAGAAGCATAAGAAGAAGGAGAAGTTGAAGAGGAAGAAGATTATGATGATGATGAATGATTGATGATTGATGAAACTATCTAAAAAGAGAAAGAAGAAGAAGAATAGAAAGCTCTAAATGAAGAAGAAGAGCGGCTAGGGTTAATATTAGGTTAGGGTTTTTGTTTTTCGGTTAACCGTTCGGTTCGCTCGAACCGAACCGAAATTCTCGGTTAACCGAACTTAAATTAATATCTTTCCGATCGGTTTAACTCAATTAAGTTGAACCGAACCGATTTGTCCAAACCTCGGTTCGGTTCGGTTCGGACAAATCGGTTCGGTTCAAATTCCCAGGCCTAGTATTGACTCACCTTTTTTGTCTTTTAGTTTTTGTTCACAACTAACTTAGATTAATCAAAGAGAAAGATAGGATGATATCTCAAAAGATAATCTGAAGTTTTTCCAAAGAGACTCTGGAATCGATCGACCTAAATTTGATTTGTAACTCTTAATTTTTCTTGAAAACGTAAGATAATAATAGTTCTTCTGCCATCGATGGCAAGCGAACAAAACTTTGAGCTCGTACAACTTAAAAAAAAAAAAGCTCTCCATAAAAAAAAAACAGAAGAATGGTGAAGTAATTCTAAGGTGGATATCAGAATAGCCAAGAGATGCTCAAAATATTTTCATAAAAAAAAAAGGGTCTAATAGTAAAATTAGAAAATAGAGAAACCCAAAACACTAGTCAAATAGATCCGAGGGTCCTAATTGCAAAATTAGAAAACAGAGGATCTCTCGAAAAACCTTAAACCCTACTCAATTCGGCGCGACGGATACTTTGTTCAGTTGAGCAGTTTGTAATTAAGATTTTCGCTGGTAGTGATGGAGATCGATTTGGGAGCGAACGCGTTCGGTATCGACTTCCATCCATCGACGAATCTAATAGCTGCTGGTCTCATCGATGGCCACTTGCATCTGTAATTCCTTCTAAAGCCCTTCTCTTCCTTCGTTTTCCAATTCAACAAGAATCATCAACAATCTATGTAATCTCAAACTTTTTCTTTTGCAGATACCGATACGACTCAGATTCTTCACTTGTCAGGTATTAAAACGCTCTTTTCATCTCCAAAGTTTGTCTCTTTTTGTTGTGGGTCAGACTAAGAGAATCGCTGAATTTGTGTAGGGAACGTAAAGTTCGAGCCCATAAGGAGTCTTGTAGAGCTGTTCGGTTCATTGATGATGGCCAAAGTTTGTTCCTTTAAACTTCCAACTATTTGAGCTCATCATATCTGAGCTCTGCTTTAACTTATATGTTTTTTTGGGGTTTAGGAATCGTCACAGCTTCAGCTGATTGCTCAATTCTAGCAACCGATGTAGAGACTGGTGCTAAGGTTGCACATCTTGAGAATGCTCACGAGTATGCAATTCCTTTTCTTTTCTTTTTTATATTGGATACATTTTAGCTGACTGGTTATTTGTTTATTGATTGGGAATATTTCGCATTGTTTCCTCTAGGGATGCTGTTAATACTTTGATTAATGTTACTGAGACAACTATCGCTTCAGGAGATGATAAAGGCTGCGTTAAGGTCTGTTAAATTCTCTCTTTCGTCTCTAATCATTTGGAATATTATAATCCAACTTACTCTCATGATATCTCTATAATTTTTGTGAGTGAAGAAATCAGATCTGGAAGGTTTCTTGGCTAATTTTCTTTTGGAGTGAAATTATGTGCTTTGTTTTCTGATACTGTATGTTTATCTCCTCAGGTTTGGGATACAAGACAGCGCTCTTGCTCTCATGAGTTTAATGCACACGAGGATTACATTTCTGGCATGACCTTTGCGTCTGATTCAATGAAGCTAGTGGCAACAGGTTGGGATTTTTGTAGTCATCCGATTCAGTGAAGCTAGTGTCTTTTGAGTTTTTACAGAAGACTTTTTCGCTTATTTCTATTTTTGGTTTCTTTGACTCTGTTTAGTGGAGACGGTACCCTGTCTGTCTGTATCTCAGACAAAGTAAGGTGCAATCTCAGTCTGATTTTCTGAAGACGAACTACTTTCTGTTGTTATAATGAAGGTAATTCCATTATATTTCTGTGTGTTTGTTCACTAATTTATCTATCAAACAGAAAAGTATTTGTAGCCAGGATGTGTCATCCCAAGCTCTTCTCTCTCCACATTGTTTCTACTTATCTAATGTATTTATTATCGTTTGCTTTTATTTGATTGATTTCAGAATGGCCGTAAAGTTATTTGTGGAACTCAGAATGGTACTCTCTTGTTGTATTCATGGGGATTTTTCAAGGATTGCAGGTAAGTCATACATCTCTAACACTACCTTTGTTAGAGGTTTAAGGTATTGAAAGATTCTATGTAATGACACCTAACTGGCTGAAATGTTTTTTCCTATTTACAGCGATCGGTTTGTTGATCTAGCTCCAAATTCAGTTGATACTCTATTGAAGGTGAGATGATACACTTATTTTAAGCATATGGTTACTGACACTGTAACATTAGGGTGCCAGTGACTAATGGAAGCCTTGTGGATTTATCCTGTAGCTCGATGAGGACAGACTTATCACTGGGTGTGATAATGGAATACTTAGGTAACAAAAAAACTCCGCTTCCATGGAAGAAAGCTCTTAACTGGTTTATCTTCACTTATTTCAATCAAATTTTATTTACATGTTTCTCCAGCCTTGTTGGAATACTGCCCAACAGAATCATACAGCCAATAGGGGCACACGACTACCCTATCGAAGATCTCGGTATTTAGAATTTCCTTCTCTATATCTAAGAACCTTTTATCTTTGTTGACTATTGTACTTTGTTTTGAACGAATTTCTAATTTTTTTTGTTCTGTTAAAAATCTCTCTTATAGCTCTCTCGCATGATAACAAATTTCTCGGTAGCACAGCTCATGACAGTATGCTGAAGGTATCATATATTCTCTCTAAACTCAAGCTCTTACTGTTATGATTTACATGTTTGTTTTCTTGTGATGAAGCTGTGGAACCTAGAAGAGATTCTAGAAGGTTCTAATGGCAACTCGGGGAATGCATCTGGAGCTGCAGGAGACAGTGACAGTGACAAGGATGGGATGGACCTTGACAATGATTCTCACAAGTCTTCCAAAGGTAAAGAGAGACCTGCAAAACTTTTTGGAACATCTTAAACATTTCCTTGAGATGATACCTACAACATGATCTGATCTGGAGTTTTTTATTGGCTTTACAGGCAGCAAGAGGAAAACAAAAAGTAAACCGAATATGCTCAACTCTACAAATAATTTCTTTGCAGACTTATAGATTTTGTTTCAGTTTCAGTCTGGATAGTACTATATCAGTTTCATACTTGAATTGTCTTTTTGATTCTGACAGTTTTGTTGAAAATTTTGGTTTTTAGTAAGATGGGGTTTTGCAAAATATCTAGCAAAACAAAATCAACTCACAGTATGCCCAAAGAAATGTTTTGGACATTACACTTTATAATTGATTTTAAGATCACCAAGAAATATTTTAAAGTTTGTAGGTGCCCAAAGACAGTTTAGTTAATAATAGGATCCGTATTAAATTTTATATTTGTCAAAAATTACAATAAAAAATTTCCAAGGATCCCTTAACAATTGGGGTTGCTCTTATATTTAGCAATAAAAAACTTTAAACTATAGTTTCCGAACTCGTCTAACCAGGTCACATACAACAAATTATGTATGTTACTTGTCGATATTTTTACAGTTATCTTATCGTTCAAATTAAAACATACGAAAACAGAGAAATTATTTAGGGAATGAGAATATAATGGCTCCTAGTGGTCATATTAACTACAAAACATTCATGGATTTAGAGATCGAATGAGAAAGCACCAAGAAATTTAACAAAATAAAGACAATAATTTTTTTGAAAGAAACATTATCAAGTACGACACTAGTTAAAGATCGGGAAGATAATTATCGAGAGCTACATGTTTATTTACGTTAAGGATCTTCAGAAATACTATTTGTCTACATGTAACAAAGGGAAAGAAAAGATTATTGTGTTCAACATTACAGATTCCTCTGTTTTAGTTAGAAAACTTTAACAAACAAAGAACTCTGCATCTTAGTATATAAGTAGAATATAAGATTGAAAAGTGTCCTAATTTTTTTATATGTATTAGTGTTTGTTTTAATAACAAACTTTTTACCAAAAAGGTCATAAAAATTTGTTTTCTATATTGTCAAAAAACCCAAAAACAATTTAGAGTAAAACAATTATTTTTTGTCATAAGAAAAGTCTCCGCCATCTGGGTTCGAGTAGCATTGGCCACCGGGATTCGAATTTTAACATGGTTTCCCTGGGTCCAAGGATTAGTCTTTGGGCCGAGGAAGCCTTTAGGATCACCTGAATTAAAAAAAAAAAAATTTATTTTTTGCCATAGGGTCCATGGTAATGTTGACCCGGCCCTGAATCACGGTTATGTTTATTAGTTTTCATTAACAATTTATGCGGTCCATTATTTCAACATGGAGGCGTTCTTGATCATATACTTTCACTCACGGCTTCTGTACATTGTTAGAGTGATTTGGTTTCACTAACTAATTTGTTATTTTATTTGTAATTTATAAGACTACGAAACTCCAAATTATATTCATTAGGCAATTTTTACATATTTTTTAATAATAATCTCTACATAGTTACAGAGGATCAGTAGCCTCCAAGTATATATCTTCACATATTTAACATTAACGGAATAAGGAAATATATTTATCTATTCTAACAATCAGCAGTCATATATCCCATTGAGATCATATATAAGGTCAGAGAAGAAAGTGAGGGAAAAAAATTATTTTTTGCATTAGTACAAAACAAAACTCATCTTGATTACATTTTCGAGCTCATTTTTTTTTTTTTTTTTGCTAAGGATACGATCTTATTATGTTATAGAGTTTATGTATACAACCCTTTTTTCAATGCCAATGGAGTAGAAAATTAAACTAACAAAAGAAACAATCGATTTGAACCATCAGCTCCACTCCAGGCACGATGATATATGTCTTTGTTAAGATGAGAGCAAAGCGAACACAATAGAATAAAAAAATGGATCAATTCAATAGTAGGAGAAACAACACCATAGATAAGTAAAGATATAAATCTTACGTAAACAGTTAAACATCTCTAGCATGCAGAATTAGTAGGATGTAAACCAATTGAAAATTTGAGATTATATAAACTTTGAAATTACAATGTTGTGGAAAACTAAAAAGCTTTACAAAATAGACAGTAAACTCTGGAAATAACAAAGAGGGTATGCAGTAGTACGATAAAAAGATATGTAAGCTAATTCATAAGATTTGGTTTTGGGATCATGTGTTACCAATTGATCTCCGGAGTTAGGTTCACAAAACAATAACTTGTCTTTGTCCACAACTGCTAGTGGCGTGAGTGCGAATCTATGCTTCCCAAACCAAAAAGAAGTTATATTGAGATCTATGGAATATATTTCCTTCCATGTCTTGTGGTCTGAATCCAACGACCATATCACTTGGTTGGGCCATTTTTTTCTGATACGCACAAACGATCATCAAGGTTGCACATGACCAACTCTCTATTAGAGTGGTCGTGGTGGTGGAGAAAGGGAGCTTTAGACATGACTTGGAAAGTTTCGGTATGAAGATCAAAAGACAAAACATTGGTGGTTTCACCCGCAGTGAGCCAATGAAGTGACCCATCTACATATACAGGATCTTGGTAAGGAAGTATCGGGTAGGGGGACGCGGGGACAACATACCTCCAAGCCTTGGAGGTAAAATCAAAAACTTCACAAATAGTACTAGTGTTGTTGTTGTCGTCGTCATCGTTAAGGCCGCCTAATTCAGCAGAATTGTATAACCAAACTGGCTTGTATGTGCCATTGATTTTGTCTTTACCGAATCCAAGCTTAGCCCATGATTCTCCATGACTAGTGAGTCGTTGATAGGTAGAACGAGGGAAAGTTCGATGCCATCGAGTGGTGGGATTAACAACAATATTCTTAGGATAGTCATTGTAGAGGCATATCAGGCCGTCACAGCTACTCTGGCAAACTTTGTACAAGGTTTTTTCCCAAGGAGTAAGGATCCTAACCGAAACTGATGACCCCACTACCAACGTTCTCATAGCTTCAAGCTCTGTACCAATAAGATAAGATTCATCACATACGGATACCAAAAGGACATCTGGATTACCTGATTGCCTACGATGCATCAGTTGTCTTTCTTGGAAAGCACGGCATTGGATTGTAGATTTCCATTGCTTCGATACGAACTTGAACTTGAGCAAGGTTTTCACATCAAGTCTCTCCAGAATATGCTCCACAACATCGTAGGGTAGCAAGTCCATCTTATTGTAGAATTAGGTAACGAACTGACTTAGCTTTCTTAATCTCTCAAACTAACATATTTATACAAGAGAGTCATCGTATAGGATAAACTCAAACAACTAAAATATAGGCTTTAAACTTTATCATTATAATATAATGATATTATCTCAATACTCCCCCTCACATTGGACTATTGTATATAACTTTTCTCAAAGTCAAACCAGGACAAATGAATTTGACAAGCAAGCCTTAAAGGCCTGAAAGAACCAAATTTACTGAAACTATATTTTCTTTTTCGTTCTGACTTGTTTAAGCGATTGCCGATTTGATTGTCTCAGTTTCTGCAGGACGCCACCATGACTTTTGAATCGAAAGCAAGCCTTCATTGTCTTTTGACTGCGTCATTTTAACGTTCCATTTCATGGATTTCACCATTTTCTCAACTTCTCCTAATGTTTCCATGTCATCCCTTATAATGAAAGTTCCCTGTGGCCTAAGAATCCGATCAATTTCAGCCATTACCGACACCAAATTGCACCTGTAATGCAAAAGAAGAAAAGGGTTTAATTCATCAACTCAGATCAGATCATCAAGCTCTGCATTTTAGAATGAGGAGAACCGTTGATGTTTTATACCTCTTCCTCAGGGTAGAGAAAAGATGATCGGCATGGAGAAGGTCGTAAGTTCTCAGATAAGTGTTGAATGATTCACACCAGTCATGATAGATTCCAAACAAACCACGTTCATATATGATAGGAAGTGTATCAGGAGCATCCACAGGAACCACGTTCATCACCCATAACTTCAGATCCTTCAATGCAGCAGCAAATCCTCCATAGACTGCTCTCATGTCCATCACATTTCTCACATTAGACCAATCGATTCCCATGTCATTAAGGTATGACTTTGAGACAATAGTTTTCCACTTCTCTTGGTCTGCTGTGAAATCCTCTGGTGCAGGTTTTCCATAAACACCTTCCTGTGAATCCAACCACTCAGGTGCAGTCTCAACCCTCTCTGGCCACATGTTTGGCCACACTGCTCCTCGCTTTGATGAATCTTCTGTCACTTTATGCATACATGCCTCAAGTGGAACATTCCTAAACCGCAAGTTAAACATATGAGCATCAGATTGCATTGGTTTACTAGTAAATTGACGCAGGGTTTAGGTTGCTCTACCAGGCTGCATTTTGATCATCGGAATCCTTGCAGAGAGGTGGATCATTTTGAGGTCTTTTGTTGTAACATTTATTTGAAGTTGGCTTTTGGTATATGGCAGCACCAACCTCATTCAGTTTGTCTTTCTTAATTGTCACCAGCTTCCAACACATTGCCTTTGTGAGCTTCGACATTGCTACAAGACAACAAAGGCCTCTCCAAAGTTAGAAATCAATTTTCAAAAGCCTATATTGAGGTAAAGAGCAAACAAAGAAGAAAAGATAAAATTTCTAACCTTTCCATATACCAGAATCTTCCTCGTTCTTTCTATAGACTGGAGTCGCTGACCAGACAAAGAAACCACCCGGCCTCAAAGCACGATTCAATTCCAAAAGAAGTTTACCACCTTCATTTCAAACAACAACAAAAAGTAGAAGGTCATTCTATAGAACAGAAGTAAGGCAAAAGAATACAATGGGATACACTTTTACCTTCAATATGCCAAGGGACTCTACAACGAGCACAATGGATAAGGTCAAAAACAGAGCTGGGAAAAGGTAATCTTTTGGTTCCCATAACATTTAACATAGCGGGAATGCCACGTTCCAGGGCGAATTGCACTTGCGCCTCATGCTCATCCTTGGGAGCAAATGACAAAGCAAGCACATCTCTTTCGAAAAGGTAACCACCAAAGCTAGCAACTCCACACCCGACATCCAATATAACACGGGTTCTATTTCCCCATGCAATAGCAGGATGTGACTGCAAAAATATAATTAATTCAATACTGATCATGCCTAGCATTAAGAAAATTATGTGGCCAGTATAAAAGTTTACCTGTTGGATGAAATCAATGTAATGAAGAGCACCATTCTTAAACTGAGTACCACCACCAGGAAAGGTAAGATGTTCACCACTCATCTTCACCCAATTTTGATGTCCCTTGATCTCTGCAAGCTTGGTGTGGGGAACATTGTTGTACCAGATCTGCGATCACACAACAGAAGAATAGATGTCATGGCAGATCATTTAAAGGAGCGCAAGCAGTTTTTTTCCAAAATCTGATAAAGTGTTCTTGTTAATTCTGGCGCATGACTATTTTATATGCAACCAGTTTTAAATAAGGAGTTTACCTTTTCCCTGCTCTTTGGCCACTTGATGGACCGCTTATAACCATCAGGCAGAGACACAAGACAATGAGGAGTTTCCTCAGGACAATGGCGCTCTCGGTGTTCATAATGCATTGTAGTATGAAGCTTTTTGATAGCTTGCCAGTTGTCAAGGCAAGGGATATAGTCTGGCCCAGCGGTCACATTGCACGTTTTCCATCCATAGCTACTTTGGTCCTTAGATATCGAGGACTGTTGTGCTTTCTTCTCGTTCTGCGACTCAACCAATTGGGTTGACCAAGCTCCATCTCCAGTGCTCGACTCTTTTGTAATTTCCGCCTGATCACCAGCTGGAAAGACGTCCTTGTTACTCTTCTCCGTGATTTCTTCAATTTCACTAGCACTCTCTTCTGATTTTTCTTCAGACTTTTCTTCGTTTCCATTACCATCCTCAGACTTGTTTTCTTCCGTGCTCTCTTCCAGTTGCGTTTTCTCTTTCTGCTTTGCTTCATCACTTTCAGATTCTACTTCTTTCACATTCTTCTCTTTCTCCCCATCTCCATCACCATTGCTGTCATCAGACTCCTTCTTTTCCTCGACTGCCTCACTTTTCTCGCCAGAGCTCTCATCGACTTGGTTTCCCTCAGCAGAGTTCTCAGAATCAGTGTTCACATGGTTGTTCTCAGTCACAGCCTCACTTTCCTCCTTCTTTTCATCAGAAAAGTTCTTCGGATCTCGATCGCCTTCTTCTTTACTCAAGTCATTTTTAGTAACAGGTTCCACATCTTTAGCGGTATCACTTGAGGAATAGCCGACAGAATTAGCAGGGGCAGACGACGAAGACATGAACATCCAAGCCCCAACTAAACAGAGGGAAAGTAACAGAACAATGGTAATGGTTAAACCATAGGTCGATGATTTCTTCCCGTCTACACGGGAATACTTCCCCATGGCCATGTTCGTCGAGTCAATGCAACCTTACTCACATCCACCTGAAAACCAATCACAAAGAAGACATGAAACTGGCGCAATAAAACCAGTAGAAATGTTAAGTTTAAACTAAAATCAGTCAAATTCTCTCACAAAGGATCTCGTTATTCAAACAATTTCAGGCACAAAAGATTTTTTTTTTTTGGTCAACACAAGAGATTAAATTCGTTAGCTTATATACCCAATCTTCTAAACTTGAACAGAGCAAGAAACAACACGAAGTTACAGATCTAGATATGGACCAAACTAAAGAGTTACCTCTGAAGCATATACAAAAACACTCGGATCTTACTACTCTAAAAAAGAGTTTAAATTTAAAAACGGATCCAATCGAATAACTTTGTTCCACCAAAACATCATCTAATAATATCAAAGCATTACCCAGAACCAGAAGCAATGAGACCGAAAGAGACTTGCTGGAAAAAATGATATTGAGGCAAAAGATTTACCAGAGGATATTTATTTATTTATGGTTACTTCAAAGATCCTCAAAGATTGCAACTTTGGGAAGCAAGCAGGATTTTTCGGATGGGATCTAGCAGAGAACGAGCTTAGTGGGTTGATTCCAGTGAAGCAAGCTAAGTGGGTTTCGGCCTTAAAATGTCAATATCCCGTTGTCAAACAAAAAGTACGCTTTTTAAAAATTAAAAAAAAACATTTATTTTCGTGTTTTCTAAGATTGTTTATTCTTCCATGCCGCGTTAATCACCGACACAGATCTCTCAAGACTCGAGTTCTGACTGAAGAACAAAACTTCTTTACCAAAGTTTCTCCCGTGTACTAAAAACCAAATCAAACTAATTAAAAGGTGATACAGCTCAAGAACTTATACGAGTCATCACATTCACATGGGCTAAGGAATGGCTTCCTCCGAGTCTTAAGTCTTCTGGTCGAAAACCTCCAATAACAAATATCTTACCGTCTATAAAAGCAGACATGGCCCGCACCGTCATGTAGAGATACATATACGTTTCAGATTTTATTTTGTGTGTGTATTCATGGAACTAATAAACCAAAATTCTTGATAGAGAGAGACAAATATGATATATAAACGAAAAATACAAGGAACTGTGTTCAGATCTCGAATCAGCATTTCCAAAACGTGAACAAGATAAATTTTATGTTTTTCCGTATGTTTGCTTAAAATCACTCACATTATTACTATTCTAGCAGATATTTTCAGACTTGAGAATGTACAGAGAAGAATCTACAGACCATGAATCCTGTTTTGTCGGCTGTTCTTTGAGCTTCTGCTGTTCACTGTTTGCTATTTTATCCTCCTCCTGTTCTTCACCATCACAGAAAGACATTGATGAGACAAAAGGATACATATCCAAATATTCATGAACTTCATACACTATATGAATCGTTATAGAAAGAAAGATCAGAATTAGATCCTTAGAGAAGAGTGGAAATAATTAATACTAGAAAACCCTGATCCTTTAACCGGTGGGTAAAAGTTAAGTGATTACCCACATAAACAACATGGAGGTAGCTTTCGGGTAAAGAAGACAAAGTTTCAGAGACTAGAATCCTACAGTGCTGGGGTTTCAATCAACGGTAGCCAAATCAGTTTTATTTTTAGATGACTTGGAATTTGTCATTGGTTCAAACCAATTTCAAATACTTCAAAGCAAGAACATACATGACCAAAAATTAGTAGGAAATTACTTCTGAGAAGGGTTTGAATGAGGATAGAGAGACTGACTGAGAGTCTTAAGCTAAGCAGTAGCCCATCTACTAACCTAGGAGCCCATCTACTATCCAAAAATCTTGTTCATATCAACCCTCTTATTTAGCTTACTAGAATGTTAGGATGCTCAGAGTCTTAAGTGAACAAGTTTTAGTGAAATCATTTATAAAAGAATCACTAACCTGTATTTATCTTTCAGATCCTGCCATTACATCAAACAAACCGCAGCAACTCAACCACGACGTTCGAACAACTGGTGGACCAGAAGGCAAAAGACTCTGCACATATGTTCAGAAGATTCAGAAAACTGAAAAATGACCTCAAGTAGAGGATGAGAAAGAAAAAAAGGGAAATGGTACCTTTTCTTTAGAACATTCTGGCACTTCATATTCTTTCACATTCTTGACTTCTTTGTTAGTTTCCTCAGCAGATCCTGGACTAAGGTTCTCTTCGTTTTCATCAGACTTCTGTTGGAGAGAATCCGAGTCTGTTGAGCTCTCAACTTGCTCATTTTTGTCCGACATCACAACCATTGAGACAGAAGAACCCACAGGATTGACAGAATCAAGAGCAGGTGAAATTTCCAAACTTGAAGTACTATCAGCCTCTCTAGAAGTTTGAGTAAAATTTTCAGGACAGGGAGTGGGTGGTTTGTCCACACCGTTCTCCTCATGATCCGTTCCTCTTCCAACTTCAATTACGTCTTCACCTTTCACTACTTGTCCCCGAGTAAAGTCAGCATCTTCTGCTTTCTCTTTAACAATGTCCTTCCCTAAACCAGATAATGGAGGAGGTGATGAGTCTATTGTCCCAAATTCTTCATTTCCTTGAGAACCAGGGGAACTCAAATTGCCATCACTGTCTCTCTCATCTTGGCTTCCATGTTCATCATGTCCTGAGATATTCAGTAAACTTATAGATCAATAAAAGACTTTCTCTTCGGAAGATTACTGGGAAAAGATAGGAAAAAACATCCAGCACTTGTTGCAAGTATCCAGAAGAAATACACAGACAACCAAACACGAGTCATATCAAAAGTGAAGGATGTGAATTGTGATTAAAGTAAAGTCACAAACTTTGGAGCAATACTTAAACAAAGATTGGCTAAATCTCAATACACCATCAGACTCATCCCCACCCACCAAAAATTTCTCTATAAAGTAGGAACAAAGCATCATTAACTTCGTCTTGTATAATACCAAAAGAAGAAACTTTACCTAACACCAGAAACCCATTTGAGACATAAAATCCCTAAACAGCAAATAAAATCACCAAAAACCATATCTTGAGAAGGGAAACTACATCGATCCAGCAACTACAACTTCTAAGCGAAACCAAAAACAGTAACAAAGACAGTACCACGATCACCATTGAAGCCTTTGTTGTTAGTACCGGCTCCAGCGGCTTCCTGCTCCTGCTGCTTCTTCTTCAAAGCCTTTCTCTTTTTGGCACCAGGAGGCATGATCAATGGATTCACAACACTGAAGAAGACGAAAAATCGAAGAAAGGTTTGGGATTGGTTTGTTCACTCCAAAGATATCTGGAGCTTGTGGGTTTGTTGGTATGTGTGATGTGGGTGGAGTTGAGTTTCTCCTTTTTGTCTTTATGTTTTGGGGAAAATCAAATGTCACACTAACAGTCAAATGCCTAGCGATAAGGCTGAGCCCATTTATTAAACGTGTCGGTCTGCCTCCATCTACTCTTCTTATTGTTTTTTTTTTTTATTAGTACTACTTTTTTTTTGTCTCTACAAATTCCTATGATTCCAATTACAGATTTTGAATGTTTTAGTAGACACATACTTATACAGGTGTGGAGACAAGACATCCTTGATCCTTGACACTAACATTACAAAAGAGTTGGGAAAATGCAAAAGTAGAAGAAACAAAAACAATAGAACATACAAAACAGTAGTAGATGATGATTTGAAAGTTGTGCAACAATCACACCAAACCTATGTGGCCGATCTTTTATAATTAGTACTTCGGAGACATCAATCACATGATGCTGCGTCTCTTCTTCATGTGTTTCCGCATTTTGTTTTAGCGCATGCTCCACCTGAAAGATAAGATTAAACCAGAGAATCTTAAAATCAATCACATGTGAGTATTCAACTATATATATACAAAGTGTTGGATACAGATTTACTTCGTGTGCCATCATATTCATAGTATGCTCATGCTCCATCCGTGACTGCTCTTTCATCGCTATTACCTCTGCTTCCGAAAGGCTCTTAGATTCGATTTCCCTTTTTTTTTCCTTGAGCTTATCATTTTCTTCCTGAGAAACCGATGATTTGCAACATTTTAAAATTTTATATACAATTAATAGTAATTCCTAAAAATGGTTTGGCAGTCAATCATCTAGTGGTGGTTGTGCATCAGTAGATATGAATACTGAGAATATGTCTAAAAGTGTAAAATCATTTAAGAAACAAATATATATAAAATAAAATAAAAATACTTTTTAAATGAGTTCAATGAAGTCTTAGACCACTATTAACAAGGGTATCTTAAAGAGTTCTTAAATAAGAAATGTGGCTTAGCTAAGACCCAAAACTAAAAAAAGTGGCTTAACTAAGACCCAAAACTAAGAGTTCTTAACTTTAATACTTCTAAGAACCATTTTTAAGATAATGCTCTTAGTGTTATCTAAAAGCCAAGCATAAGAGAGATCACTTCACATTCGAATGCACAAGAAAACATAATTTTTTACCTTAATATTTTCTCATACATCTCACTTACCATGGTAACACCTCCTGCATCTGCTTTTGATATGTCGAGTTTTTCACCAAGGAGGGTGTTTCCGGTGAAGCTCTTTCCATTGCCATTACGCCCTACTAGAACTATATCTGTAACGGAGGGCAATTCCCGAGCAGCCATATTCTGATCACCACCAATTTCTGCATGCAGGCAGGCAAGCACCCATTAAAAAAACATCATGAAATAATATCTTTTGAAAAGGAGAATGAAGAGAG